TGTCTTTCTTGGATGCACGCTTTTACATGTGCACAGTGTATATGTGTAATTTTTGTGTATGGATACAGATGCTGACTAAATTAAGTAAACAACTAAATGGAGAGGATTGGACCTGGAACAACCTTAATACATTATGTTGGGCAATTGGATCTATATCTGGATCGATGGTTGAGGAGCAGGTAGGTTTATGTGTATTTTTCTTTTCCTTTTCCCTTCACTTGTTTCACGATTATTTGCTGACTTCCCATGCTAATCTCATTTTAATCTGGGATTTCATTCATTATAATTTTCTCGATCTTGCTTGCATGTTACCCATGGTACATTACCATGCACAATATGTTGGCTCACTGAGGCTAAAAATTGCTAAATTTTTAGTGTTCATCATTCTGTGTGTAAAAAATAATAATATTCTATAGAATTTTTTTGTCCTTTAGTGTTATATTTTGTTGGAATCGAACTTCCAGGCATCATGGTTGTACAGTTTAAGTTTGTGGTAGTTTTGTTTAACATGATCAATTGACCATTCAAGTTAGAGTCTTGGGACTTATTTTAAGATCTGCTCCTTGTTCTTTAAGATTTAGGTAACTTTCTCCCTTTGGCAGGAAAACAGATTTCTGGTGATGGTGATTCGTGATCTTTTGAACCTCTGTGAAATCACAAAAGGAAAAGACAACAAGGCTGTCATTGCTAGTAACATAATGTGAGGATTGTAGTAATGAGGTTATATTGTTAATTAGATCTGATAATATAGGTTGCTGTTATAGTGTTGCAAAAGGGTTCCTTCAATCATTATAGCATTGTGGTGCCTCCTCATAGTGGAGGTGACCCTTGGGAGATGGTTGAATGTGATTTATAATTGATTTGGTTGAATTTTAATTTTTTTGAATTTTTGGGATATCCAGGTATGTGGTTGGGCAGTATCCTCGATTTCTGAGGGCCCACTGGAAGTTCCTGAAAACAGTAGTGAATAAGTTGTTTGAGTTCATGCATGAAACACATCCTGGAGTTCAGGTAAAAATTTATGCTCATCTTTTCCTAATATAATATATTATTGCAGACATCTTTAATCTTCATTGTGTCATGCAGTTCAGCTGTGGTCTACGAAAATATGTTTATATGATTATATCCCGTTGGGCATTTCTTCACCCCCCCCCCCCCCCCCC